TCTTCGTGTAACAAAAACATTTGTTCCCCCTTAATATTTTGAAATTTAAAAAAGAGAGAAGGGGCATTTGGGTATGTCTGACCTTGCTTCTCACAGTTTAACCCTAGCCCCTTCACAGTCTCCAACCCTTTCCAAAATGTCATTTGTTCGTTTCAAAACACTATCATCTGGGCGCTGTGAGGCTCCGCTCTGGCTGCAGGTGGGGAGAACCGTCTGGGCTCTGCTGGAGTCGTGTTTCCGAGGGACTGAGGAGACCATCAGGAACCGAAGATGCCGAAACCAGTCGGTGTCCGAGTTACCACCATGGATGCAGGGCTGGAGTTTGCAATCCAGCCAAATACAACTGGAAAACAACTTTTTGATCGGGTGGTTAAGACTATCGGCCTCCGGGAAGTGTGGTACTTTGGCCTCCAGGATGTGGATAATAAAGGATTTCCTACCTGGCTGAAACTTGATAAAAAGGTGTCTGCCCAGGAGGTCAGGAAGGAGAATCTGCTCCAGTTCAAGTTCGGGGCCAAGTTCTATTCCCTCCAAGCGAAGGAGGGAATTCTCAGCCACGAGATTTACTGTCCCCCTGAGACCGCAGTGCTGCTGGGGTCCTGTGCCGTGCAGGCCAAGTTTGGGGACTACAACGAAGAAGCGCACAAGGCTGGGTACCTCGGCTCTGAGCGGCTGATCCCTCAAAGAGTTACGGACCAGCACAGACTGACCAGGGACCAGTGGGAGGACCGGATCCAGGTGTGGCACGCAGAGCACCGTGGGATGCTCAAAGACAGTGCTATGTTGGAGTATCTGAAGATTGCTCAGGACCTGGAAATGTATGCAATCAACTATTTTGAGATAAAAAATAGGAAAGGAACAGACCTCTGGCTTGGAGTTGATGCCCTTGGACTAAATATTTATGAGAAAGATGATAAGTTGACCCCAAAGATTGGCTTCCCTTGGGGTGAAATCAGGAACATGTCTTTCAATGACAAAACGTTTGTCATTAAGCCCATCGACAAGAAGGCACCTGACTTCGTATTCTATGCGCCTCTCCTGAGAATTAACAAGAGGATCCTGCAGCTCTGCTTGGGGACCCATGAGCTGGCATGCGCCGCAGGAAGCCCGACGCCACGGAGGTGCAGCAGGTGAAGGCCCAGGCCCGGGAGGAGCAGCACCAGAAGCGGCTGGAGCGGCAACAGTTGGACACTGAGAAGAAAAGGAGGGAAACTGTTGAGAGAGAAAAAGAACAGATGATGCGTGAGAAGCAGGAGCTGATGCTCAGGCTGCAGGGCTATGAGGAGAAAACCAAGAAGGCGGAGAAAGAACTCTCGCAGCAGATTCAGAGAGCCTTGCAGCTGGAGGAGGAGAGAAAAGGGGCCCAGGAGGAGGCTGAGCGCCCAGAGGCTGACCGTGTGGCCGCGCTGCGGGCCAAGGAGGGCCGGAGAGACAGGCAGTGGATCAGATACACAGCCAGGAGCAGCTGGCTGCGGAGCTTGCAGGGCACACTGCCAAGATCGCCCTCCGGGAGGAGGCCAGGAGCACAGGGCCAAAGAAGCCCAGGATGACCCGGCGAAGACTAAGGAGGAGCTGCACCTGGCGATGACAGCTCCCCCGCCCCCGCCCATGTACGAGCCGGCCGGTTACCACGTCCAGGAGGGCCTGCAGGATGAGGGTCACAGCGCCCAGCTGTCCAGCGAGGGCATCACTGAGGCCGAGAGGAACGAGCATGTGCAGCGGCAGCTGCTGACGCTGAGCAGTGAGCTGTCCCAGGCCAGAGATGAAAATAAAAGGACCCACAGTGGCCTCATCCACAACGAGAACATGAGGCAAGGCTGGGACAAGTACCAGACTCTGCGGCAGATCCGGCAGGGCAACACCAAGCAGCGGATCGACGAGTTTGAGGCCATGTAACGGCCAGGACCAAGAGCAGTGGGGCACTTCGCAGCACGCTGCTTCGAGGCCACTGCCAGCCTTGTCCCGCTTCTATCTTTAGTACTGCAAATCTAGGGGACCCCTTATCGCCTCCCACTTCCTTTAAAAAGAGAGCATTTATCCTGGCAGAAGTATTCTGGGCTGGGAACCAGGGGAAGCTTCCCTGGTTTATTTTCTACAATTGTATCATAGTGCCAAACAGGCCTGATTTTTATGATTATTATTGAATCACTTTCTGTATCGTGCTTAGAGTAGGACTCATCAAATTAAGGGAAGTGCCTATGAAGTATGCGTAACAAACTTCACGCTGGCCTGTGTGATACAAGATCCAGTATCATTAAAGAAAACCACATCGTGGCTTAAATCTGTGCCATACTTTTTCTGTATTTGAAATGAACTCAAATTGATATTTTGATTTCTATGAAGGATTCATCTTTATATATTTAAGATTGCAGGGGGAGGGGGCACGGGCAATATATGTAACCTTAACACTTGTACCCCCATAATACGCTAAAATAAAAAAAAAAAGGAGGAAAAAAAAAGATTGCATGTGAAGCACTCACACACACAAATTATTTCCCTCCTGCATCAGTCTGTGTGGCAGGTGGCAGAGCCAGTGTGCACCGGGCGTGAGCTCTGCAGGGAGACACGCTTGGATAAACTTTTTACAAAGTGTTTTTGGGTTTTGCTTAACAGAATACATGGTTGGACTTATACCTAGTTAATGATCAGCTCTAGAGTATAGTATTTCTAAGTGATAACGTGGGTTTGTAACATTAGTTTTAAAAAGGGAAAGTTTCATTCTGTATATTTTGTTACCTTTTACGGAATAATAAAAGAATTACACATTAAAAAAAAACCACTATCATCCTTTTTCTCCCTTTCAGATTCTGGCACTCAGGTGAACCCAATAACCCTTCAGAGCGTTGTGTCATAGTCAATTTTCGTCATCCTTCACGACAATGGGGCTGGAATGATATTGATTGTCATGAACCTGAGAAGTCGATTTGTGAGATGACGAAGATCTACTTATAATGGAACACTTTCTATGGAGATGTGTTTGGATGGGCATCTACCATTATAGACAGATAATTTGCTTTTTATTTATATGCAAGCTTTATACAGGGGATGCCCATAAAATTTTTCAGTAATCTGTCACCTATTCCACTTATGACAGAATCGGTTCACACATTCATTCATTCATAAAATGAGTGCTTATTGAGCATTCTCGCACGCCACAGTCCACAGCAGCCCATTACAGACAAACAGGGAGAATGCACCTCCTCTCCTACTCTCTGACAGCTGAGGGGTCAGGTGCCTGTTACGGGCTGGACTGCATCCCTACCCTCCAAAGTCATACGTCGAAACACCTCCAGTACTATACTGGGAGAATCTTTTAAGAGGGGATTGAAATGAGGACATTAGAGTAAGCCCTAATCCAATCTGACCGAAGTTCTTATCGGAGGAAACTTGAACACAAGACAAGACCGCAGGGTGCATGTGCACAGAGGGACTACCTCGTGGAGATGCAGCAAGAGCCGGCCATCTGCAAGTGAACCAGGGTGCTCGGAGCAAACCAGCCCTGCTGGCACCTTGGTCTTGCACTGTCAGCCTCCCGAACCGAGAGAAAAAGAAGGATTTGTTGTGTAAGCCACGCAGTCTGTTCTATTTTGTTATGACAGCCCTAGCAAGCCAGTATGGTACTAATATCGGTATTTGATGCAGTCTTCCTGTGTGTGTCTGGTCAAAATATTTTTCATTTCTTTCAGACTTATTACCTTTAGCTAAAAGCATACTATGTGGCAGGATGAAATAGAACATCTCCAAAGAAGGCAATGTTCTTGCTGTGGTCCAGCAAATTATTTGGGCTTCTTAACATTCTTTGTTCAGTCTTGGGCTGGCATCTCACATCAGTGTGCAGAGAAAGGGGAATGAGAGATCATTCTCCTGGTGGGCTGGCATATAGCACTATATTCCTTGCTCTCAGATAGCTCAATAATTTTTTTTTTTTTGGTTCATAGTGTCACAGAAACTTCTGTGTATTGATCACCACCCAAAAAGTCCCCTCATTTGTTCTTTTTTTTTTTTTTGAGACAGAGTCTCACTTTGTTGCTCAGGCTAGAGTGAGTGCCGTGGTGTTAGCCTAGCTCACAGCAACCTCAAACTCCTGGACCTAAGCGATCCTCCTGCCTCAGCCTCCGGAGTAGCTGTGACTACAGGCACGTGCCACCATGCCCGGCTAATTTTTTCTATATATATTTTAGTAGGCCCAATTAATTTCTTTCTATTTTAGTAGAGACGGGGTCTCGCTCTTGCTCAGGCTGGTTTCGACCTCCTGACCTTGAGTGATCCGCCTGCCTTGGCCTCCCAGAGTGCTAGGGTTACAGGCTTGAGCCACTGCCCCTGGCCCCTACAGGTCACTTTATTTCTATTACAACAAAAAACACATCATATTTACAATACAGCCTATAACTCATTGCTCTGGTATACTGATTAGAATTGATTATGGTAAAGCTGGTTCTGTCCATGACTTTACTTTTTTTTTTTTTTTTTTTAGAGACGGGGTCTCGCTCTTGCTCAGGCTGGTTTCGAACTCCTGACCTCGAGCAATCCGCCCGCCTCAGCCTCCCAGAGAGCTAGGATTACAGGCGTGAGCCACCGCGCCCGGCTCATGACTTTACTTTTACAGACTTTCCCAACCTGACTTCCTGAGATTATGCCCTAATTATCTTGATACAACTAAGTCATTTCATTTCTTCAGCTACACATTTCCTCACTAGACTTTAGGGTTGGTTATTTTAAAAATCTGACCTTAAACACTACACGTAGAATTTACCAGTTTAACTCCCAGAGAGCAACTTAACACAATTCTTCTCATTTGTCCATCTATATGAATAGTTATTCACTTGTTTATTTTTTGATTTTTGTTTTGTTTTGTTTCTCTGTTGCCCAGGCTAGAGTGCAGTGGCATGACCACTGACTCACAGCAATCTCAAATTCTTGGGCTCAATAAATCGTACTGGCTCCGCCTCCCCAGTGGCTGGGACTATAGGCATGTGCCACCATGCCTAGGTAAATTTTTTTTTGAGACAGAGTTCTGTGGCCCAGTGTAGAGTGCCATGGCGTCAGCCTAGCTCACTGCAGCCTCAAACTCCTGGGTTCAAGTGATCCTCCTGCCTCAGCCTCCCGAGTAGCTGGGACTACAGGCACGCACCACCATGCCTAGCCAAATTTTTCTATTTTTAGTAGAGATGGGGTCTTGCTCTTGCTCAGGCTGGTAACAAACTCCTGGCCTCAAGCAATCCTCCTGCGTCAAGCTCACAGAGTGCTAGAATTACAGGCGTGAGCCCCTGCACCTGGCATACATCAGTAGTTTAAACCTTGTTTTCACTTTATAATCACAATCCTAAGGAGCTTTCAAAAAATACCTCACCCTGGGCATCCATATTTTTTAGTTCCTAAGGACACAGAACCTCTGATCTACATTTATTATTGTGCAATAGCATTTTATACACAAGCTCAGAACTATGAGGTGGACACCTCCTGAACAGATGTGAGAGGATTACATTTGATAATGGTATTTAGTTTCCTGTTACTGCTGTAACAAATCAACACAAACTTAGTGGCTTAAAGAAACACAAATTAGGCCTGACACGGTGGCTCACGCTTGTAATCCTAGCACTCTGGGAGGCGGAGGCAGGAGGATTGTTTGAGCTCAGGAGTTCGAGACCAGCCTGAGCAAGAGCCTGTCTGTACTAAAAAATAGAAAGAAATTAGCTGGACAACTAAAAATACACATATATAAATATAAAAAATTAGCTGGGCATGGTGGCGCATGCCTGTATTCCCAGCTACTTGGGAGGCTGAGGCAGGAGGATCGCTTGAGCCCAGGAGACTGAGGTTGCTGTGAGGTAGGCTGACGCCACGGCACTCTAGCCCAGGCAACATAGTGAGACTCTGTTTCAAAAAAAAAGAAAAGAAAAGAAATGTGGAACCTGAGGTCCCACACCAGACCTATGAATCAGAATCTGCATTTAACAAGATCCCCCGTGAGATCTATATGCATGCCAAAGTTTTTGAAGCACTTCTATAAAATGGATATGATTATCCCCATTTTACAGATAAGGCAAAAAAGGCACAGGTAACAAACTTGCCCAAGGTCACACCAACAGAAATTGGTGAAGCCCAGGTTAGAGTCCAGGCAGGCAGACTCCATAGCCCTAGGCTTAGCTATTTTCATTGGAACACAGGAATAAAATAGAATAAAATGGAAAAAATAGGAGGTCTGCTCCTAGTAAGGAGCTCCTAATTTCAGAGTTAAATAGTGTTGATCTCAAGGTATAGACAGAGGGTAGGCAGGGGAAATGGTACAATGGAAGAGGGAGGCTTACATGGAGAGGGCCCCCGGTGGCATGCCTCTCCACCTGGTCCTAAAGGAGTTGGGGCAGCCTGAGAGACTTGAGATGAAGTATAATACATGAAATTTACTCTCAAATATCTGTTTAAAAAACAGAGAAAAAGGCCGGGCGCGGTGGCTCACGCCTGTAATCCTAGCACTTTGGGAGGCCGAGGCGGGCGGATTGCTCAAGGTCAGGAGTTCGAAACCAGCCTGAGCGAGACCCCGTCTCTACCAAAAATAGAAAGAAATTAATTGACCAACTAAAAATATATATACAAAAAAAAATTAGCCGGGCATGGTGGCGCATGCCTGTAGTCCCAGCTACTCGGGAGGCTGAGGCAGAAGGATCACTTGAGCCCCGGAGATTGAGGTTGCTGTGAGCTAGGCTGACGCCATGGCACTCACTCTAGCCTGGGCAACAAAGCGAGACTCTGTCTCAAAAAAAAAAAAAAAAAAACAGAGAAAAAAATAAAGTGTTAAATTAAATGTGGCGCTTGTTAACAATTGGTGTATCTAGGTAAAATGTACACAGAAGGTCATTGGCCTCATCTTGCAACTTTATGTGGTTTGAATTTTGCCCAGGCTGGAGTATAGTGCCATGATCATAGCTCACTGCAGCCTCAAACTCCTGTGCTCAAGGTGTCCTCCTGCCTCAGCAGCCTCCCAAGTAGCTGGAGCATACCACCACACTGGCCAGGGAGCGCGCGCGCAGAGACAGGCCCTCATTCAGGCCCCAACTCCTCTTCTCAAGCAATCGTCCTACTTTGGCCTCCCAAAGTGCAGGGATCACAGGTGTGAAACCACAACACCTTGCCTAAAATTTTTTTTTAGGAGAAAAAGATTAAAATAAAATGAAAAATGTTATTAGAGTAAGCAATAAAAGTAGAAACCAAGAGCTTTCCTATGTTACAACCAGTTAGAATACATATATTTCAAGAAGAAAGATCTAAAGCCACTCACATCTCTCCACCGTCCAATCGGCAGACCTTCCCCATGCTCTGAGCGCTGGTCTTGGCCATTTGAGCCCACGTCTGTCTCTGCAGGAGTGGTGGCACAGGCTCGTGGTGGCTGTGTGTGGGTGCAGGGCTGGGCCCTGATGCTGTTGCCAGGTGGACTGAGCACGGCCCCTCATTACTTACTCTGCAGGCTGTTAAACACTGAAAGTCACTGAATTAACAGAGCTGACAACTCATCTTTTAAGTAACATTGTTAGACTCATCTTTTTATCTTTTTTTAGACTCATCTTTTAAACCTGTGCCTGAACATGTCCCTGTGAACTAAAATAAAATCTTAAGCACCCTCCAAAAAAATAAAAAAAGATCTAAAGAAGAAAATATCTGGCTGGGCGCGGTGGCTCACGCCTGTAATCCTAGCCCTCTGGGAGGCTGAGGTGGGCGGATTGCTCAAGGTCGGGAGTTGGAGACCAACCTGAGCAAGAGCGAGACCCCGTCTCTACTATAAATAGAAAGAAACTAATTGGGCAACTAATATATATAGAAAAAATTAGCTGGACATGGTGGCACATGCCTGTAGCCCCAGCTACCCGGGAGGCTGAGGCAGGAGGATCGCTTGAGCCCAGGAGTTTGAGGTTGCTGTGAGCTAGGCTGATGCCACGGCACTCACTCTAGCCTGGACAACAAAGTGAGACTCTGTCTCAAAAAAAGAAAATATCTGCTGAAAGAACTGACTTAACGAAGCTGACTTCAATCAGATAAGCCACTTATTATGTAACATTGAGCAAGTTAATTATTTCTGTGCTTTTTTCAAAAAAATGAAGATAAAATGAACCCAGAAATTTTAAGGATCAAATGAGTTGATGCATGTAAAATATTATACTTAGAACAATGCCTAGCACTCAAATGTAAACTATTATTGTATTTTTTAAAATTTAAATATATCTGAAGAACACTAAAGGACATGTAGAATGCATTTTATTCATTCATATTCTTGGATATTAAATCTAATTTAGAAATTTAACACTATTGCAATAAAAATAAATTGGCTTTTTAAAATCTAGATACTGACTCTCAAGTTCATACAAAAAAACTATCAAGTTAGCTTCGCTACCACAAGGAACCTGCAAGTTACAGCAAAACCTCAAGACTGTCCCACATTTGTCCTTGCTGGTAGACTATGATGGGTTTATTTCTAAGTAGGATAACCTCTAAAGACGAAATTTGGTAATGTGAGTGAATGTTAATATTTAACATCCCTTCATAACATCTCCACTGTTGTACTTTGCCATTTCTGTTGCAACCAGTCTTCTAGGTATGTACTTTGTATTATATCCTTTTAATGTTTCCCCCTAATTCTGAATACCAACAGCTAACTTATCTTATCAGCAAGGCATTTATTTCTTCACCCTAGGTCTCCAGCTGCTTTTTTTCTCTTAGGTTCCCCATTTGGTCACACTCTAAACATGATAGTTGGAGGGCAGATTTTATGTATCTTTGTATCCCGAAAAGAAATGTTAGATCTACATGCATGAGTCATTGAAAGACAATACAGTCCAGAATGGTGGCTCACACCTGTAATCCGAGAACTTTGGGAGGATCAGAAGGATCACTTGAGGCCAGGAGTTTGAGACCTCTTTCTCTATAAAATAAATTAGCTAGACATACAGTCCCAACTACTCTGGAGGCTAGGGTGGGAGGATAATTGCTTGAGCTCTGAGTTTGAGGCTGCAGTATACTGTGATGGTGTCACTATACTCCAGCCTGGGCAAGAAGTAAAACTCCCATCTCTAAAATCTTTAAAAAACATAAGACATTAATTCCCTCCTGAGATATTATGAAATATATCTGGTCTTATTCAGTTTTCTAACAGCTAGCTCCTTAAATCCTTGACAACTCTGAAGTGCTATCTTTTGTATGCTCTAGAGACCTGTGGCTGGGGACTCCAACCTGGGGAGTGGGGGTTAGTTGCCAGAGGAACTAACCGCATGATTCGAGGGTTGGAACTTTCACTTTCCTATCTTGGACCTCTTGGGGTAGAGGGGCAGGGTTGAAGTTTGAGCTGATAAACCAATGGGCAATCCATAAAAATGCCTATATAGTGAAGTTTCCACAAAAACTCAAAAGGACGGATTTCTGAGAGCTTCAGTCTAACTGAACACGTGTGGACTCCAGTAGGGTTGTTCCCCCTGCATGTCTCCCCTACCCCGCCCTGTGCATCTCTGCCATCTGGTTGTCCATATCCTTTGCCACCTTGGAGTTAAGTGTTTCCCTGAGTTCTATGAGCCACTTCAATTCTCAAAGTAATTGAACCCAAGGAGGGGGTCTTTATAGCTGGTTTATAGCTGACTTATAGCTTTGTCAGAAACGCAGGCAAAACCACCTGGGATTTGCAATTGGCATCTGGAGCGAGATCTTTCGTAGAAGACTGACCCTGTTGCTGGTCTCCAGGTAGTGTTAGAATGGAATCAGGGAACACCTAGCCGGTTATTCACTGCAGAATCGTTGCTTGGTATGAGGGGGAAAACCCCAGGTACCTATCAGGCTGGTGTGGTGGCTCATGCCTGTAATGTTAGCACTCTGGGAGGCTGAGGAGTTGAAACCAGCCTGAGAGCAAGTGAGACCCCGTCTCTACTAAAAATAGAAACTGGCCCAACTAAAATATACAGAAAAAATTAGTCTGGCGTGGATGGCATGCTGTAGTCCCAGCTACTCAGGGAGGCTGAGGCAAGAGGATCTCTTGAGCCAGGAGTTTGAGGTTGCTGTGAGCTAGGCTGCGCCACGCACTCTAGCCTGGGCAGCAAAGTGAGACTCTGTCTCAAAAAATGAGGTAAAACGAATAAAAGATAAAAACCTATTAGCTCTACTTTTCTACCACTTTCCAGTTTTCACAACTCTTGTAGGAAGTTGATATATCTGTGCCCATATTTTCTGACCTTGCCCAAATGTTTGCCAGTGGGACAGTATCACAAATATTCAGAAAGCCAGATATTTATACTCCAGGAATGTGATGAGGATAAAAATTATTCTTGCTGTGTATTCAATGAACAAGTATAAAATCAAGAACAAGAATTTTTAAAAGGTACTCAAATGTCAATTTTATTGCTTAGGCACACATTTATTTGCTATTAGGAAGTAAAAAACGCATACAAATTTCCTTTCATTACAATTTTTGAAACCAAGAAATCTAATCAATTAATCTCTAGCCCAAACTACCCAATGTTCTCCTTCATATTCTCTCCCACAAGTCACCGCTTGCAAATTCTTGATGTTGAGTTTTATCGCACTGACTTTAGGTTACACTAAAACACATGGGAATACTTCAGACCTATTGGGGATTCTTTGGGTAAAATCAAAAGTAAACTAAGTATACTGAAGTTATTCAAATACATTCAAACTACACACATCCCTTATAAATTACTAGTATCAAGGTAATAGGAAAAGATACAAAGAAAAGATATCAGAACATAGATTATTAATAGATTATATAATTCAAGATTATTGCTACAATCTATCCTAACAAACTTTCAACTTGCTTCATAAAATTACCAGCAAAAAAAGAAAGACATAAGAATAAGTTCATCGTAAATGGGCAGGATGCATCATCACATCCCTATTTAGCATTTTCTTTAGGATCCCATTTGCTAAGCACGCAGAAATTACACCTGCATCTGAATGGTTTACCTCTTGATTTACCCTGAAAAAAAAAAAAATGAAAGAGGTTATTGGGATATTGCACCCCAAAGAAATGTAACAAACCCTGAAATCTAATGCTGTTTAAGAAACAGGGACATTTACAGCACGGCTGACTGAATAAAAAAAAAAAAAAAAGAAACAGGGAACACAAACACAAAGCATTTGGGGGGAAGGGGTCAAAAGCAAAACATTGAGGGAAAATATAAGACTGAAATATGAATAACAAAGAATGGCAGCTTGTGGATCACTTTGTAATGGTAACAGGTGCAGATTGTCGATAAAAACATTAAGAGCGAACCCTAATATAAAGTATGGACTTTGGGCGAGAATGATATATCAGTGTAGGCTTGTCACTTGTAAAAGATGCCGCACAACTCTGGTATCCACAGCTGACAGTGAGGGAGGCTACGTACAGTGGGGCAGGGAGAATATAGAACCTCTAGGCCGGGCGTGGTGGCTCACGTTCAAAACCAGCCCGAGGAAGAGCGAGACCCAGTCTCTACTATAAACAAAGAAATTAATTGGCCAACTAATATATAGAAAAAATTAGCCGGGCATGGTGGCACATGCCTGTAGTCCCAGCTACTTGGGAGGCTGAGGCAGGAGGATCACTCGAGCCCAGGAGGTTGAGGTTGCTGTGAGCTAGGCTGATGCCATGGCACTCTCTAGCCTGAGCAACACAGTGAGACTGTCTCAAAAAAATAAACTTATACTTACTGTTTAATTTTTTAAAGGTAAAAATATGAACTGGTTTCTCCAGAGTCAAAAAAAAAAACAAAAAAAACTAGATACCCACCCACTGAGGATCCTGAAATCCAGTGTTGTTGTTGTCGTCATCGTCGTCTTCTTCCTCTCTTTCACGCTTCTTGGGAAGAAAGAAGATTGGAAACTAAGATGACTCAAGCATAACAAAATTGATGCATGTAATCAAAAACATTTGTGGCAGGGCCGCAGTGTCTCACGCCTGTAATCCTAGCTCTCTGGAAGGCCGAGGTGGGAGGATCGCTCGAGGTCAGAGTTTGAAACCAGCCTGAAGCCAAGAGTGAGACCTTGTCTCTACTATAAATACAAAGAAATTAATTGGCCAACTAAATATATAAGAGAATTAGCCGGGCATGGTGGCGCATGCCTGTAGTCCCAGCTACTTGGGAGCTGAGGCAGGATTGCTTGAGCCCAGGAGTGTGAGGTCTTGAGCTAGCTGATCACCAGGGCACTCTCTACCTGGCAAAAAAGCGAGGACTTACTCAAAAACAAAACAAAAAGACATTTGTACCCTTGTAATATTTTGAAATTTTAGAAATATTAAAAAGGAAAGAGATTACTATTATTACACATGTACCGTGAAGAGTCGTTGGGGAGCCTTAAAAATGAAATGTTTGCAGTGAGTGGCTGCTGCTCACCACTAATTTGAGACAGCCTCGCTCTGTCACCCAGGCTGGAGTTCAGCAATGCTGTAGCCTCAATAGCCTGAGCTCAAGGGATTCTTCCACTCAGCCTCCCAGACGGGGGCGCGTGGGGCTAAAGGCCATGCTACTACACCAGGCTAATTTTCATTCTTGTAGAGAGGTCTCACTTGTTGCCAAGGCTGTCTCCAAACTCCTGCCTTAAGCAATCCTCACCTCGACCCCCCCCCCAGAAGTGCTAGGATCAGGATCAAATGAGTTGGGATGCGCATTGTAAAATATGTATATTAGAACAATGCCTAGCACTCAAACTTGTTAAACTATTATTGCGTTATTTTTATAAAACGTAAATATATGTCTGAAGAAACACTAAAGGAATGTGAGAACTTGCATTTTTATTCATTCATTATTCTTGGATGATTAAATCTAATTTAGAAATTTTCACACTATTGCGCATAAAGAGTGAATTGGCTGTTCTAAAGAATCGGTAATACTGACTCTCAGGAGTCATAACAAAAAAGAGATCGAAAGTCAGGCCGCTCGTACGCAGCAAGGGAACTGCAAGTTACAGCAAACCTCAAGACTCCCAATGTTTGTCCCTTGTGTAGGACGGCTATGACTCGCGTTTTTTCTTAAGTTAGTATAACCTCTAAAGGATCGAAATTTGGTAATGTGAGTGAATGTTGAATAATTTGTAACATCCCGTATCTTATAAGTCCTCACTGTTGTTTACGGCTTTGCCATTTCTGTTGCAACCGAGTATTCTAGGTATGTACTGGTGTGTGATGGTATGTCGCTGGTGGTAGTGGTTTGCGCCGCCTAATCTGGAATACCAGACGAGCAACTATCGCTTATCAGCAAGGCATTTATGTTCTTCACCTCTAAGGTCTCGCAGCGTGCCTTTTTTCTCTTAGGGTCCCGGTTGGGTCGAGCTCTAGAACGGATATATCGGGACGGGGCCAGGCGTGGTCTGGTGGTCTTTGTTTATCTGCCGCGAAAAGGAAGTTAGATCTACGATGCAAGGTGAGCATTGAAAGACGGAAGCGCGGTGCTGCCAGACATGATGGCTCACACCTGTCAATCCGCCGCGCCTCTTGCGTCGCGGAGGCGGCTGGGGCGGAGATCAGGAAGGATCAGTTGACGGCCAGGGAGTTTGGACCTCTTTCTCTATTCTATAAAATAAATTAGCTAGGGACATACAGGTCCCTCAACTACTCTGGGGCTAAGGGGTGGGAGGGATAATTGCTTGAGCTCGAGTTTGAGGCTGCAGTATACTGTGATGGTGTCACTATACTCCAGCCTGGGCAAGAAGTAAAACTCCCATCTCTAAAATCTTTAAAAAACATAAGACATTAATTCCCTCCTGAGATATTATGAAATATATCTGGTCTTATTCAGTTTTCTAACAGCTAGCTCCTTAAATCCTTGACAACTCTGAAGTGCTATCTTTTGTATGCTCTAGAGACCTGTGGCTGGGGACTCCAACCTGGGGAGTGGGGGTTAGTTGCCAGAGGAACTAACCGCATGATTCGAGGGTTGGAACTTTCACTTTCCTATCTTGGACCTCTTGGGGTAGAGGGGCAGGGTTGAAGGTTGAGCTGATAAACCAATGGGCAATCCATAAAAATGCCTATATAGTGAAGTTTCCACAAAAACTCAAAAGGACGGATTTCTGAGAGCTTCAGTCTAACTGAACACGTGTGGACTCCAGTAGGGTTGTTCCCCCTGCATGTCTCCCCTACCCCGCCTTGTGCATCTCTGCCATCTGGTTGTCCATATCCTTTGCCACCTTGGAGTTAAGTGTTTCCCTGAGTTCTATGAGCCACTTCAATTACTCAAAGTAATTGAACCCAAGGAGGGGGTCTTTATAGCTGGTTTATAGCTGACTTATAGCTGCTTGGTCAGAAACGCAGGCAAAACCACCTGGGATTTGCAATTGGCATCTGGAGCGAGAGTCTTTCGTAGGAGACTGGACCCTGTTGCTGTCTCCAGGTAGTGTTAGAATGGAATCAGGGAACACCTAGCCGGTTATTCACTGCAGAATCTTGCTTGGTATGAGGGGGAAAACCCCCAGGTACCTATCAACACCCTATTAAGGGCTGGGTGTGGTGGCTCATGCCTGTAATGTTAGCACTCTGGGAGGCTGAGGAGTTTGAAACCAGCCTGAGCAAGAGTTGAGACCCTGTCTCTACTAAAAATAGAAACTGGCCAACTAAAAATATACAGAAAAAAATTAGTCTGGCGTGGAGGTGCATGCCTGTAGTCCCAGCTATTCAGGAGGCTGAGGCAAGAGGATCTCTTGAGCCCAGGAGTTTGAGGTTGCTGTGAGCTAGGCTGACGCCACGGCACTCTAGCCTGGGCAGCAAAGTGAGACTCTGTCTCAAAAAAATGAGGTAAAACGAATAAAAGATAAAAACCTATTAAGCTCTACTTTTCTACCACTTTCCAGTTTTCACAACTCTTGTAGGAAGTTGATATATCTGTGCCCATATTTTCTGACCTTGCCCAAATGTTTGCCAGTGGGACAGTATCACAAATATTCAGAAAGCCAGATATTTATACTCCAGGAATGTGATGAGGATAAAAATTATTCTTGCTGTGTATCAATGAAAATAAAAATCAAGACAAGAATTTTAAAAGGTACTCAAATGTCAATTTATGCTAGGCACACATTTATTTGCTACTAGGAAGTAAAAATACAGCACATCAAAAATTTCCTTTCATTACAATTTTTGAAACCAGAAAACTATCAATTAATCTCAGCCCAAACTAACCCAATGTTCCTTCAGATCTTCCCCACAAGTCACCGCTGCAAATTCTATGTTGAGTTTTATCGCACTGACTTTAGGTACACTAAAACACATGGAATACTTCAGACCTATTGGGGATTCTTTGGTAAAATCAAAAAGTAAGCTAAAATACTGAAGTTATTCAAATACATTCAAACTACACACATCCCTTAAATACTAGATCAAGGTGATAGGAAAGATACAAGAAACAGATATCAGAATCATAGATTATAATAGATTATATAATCAAGATTAGTGCACAATCTATCCTAACAAAGCTTCTAACTTGCTTCATAATTACCAGCAAAAAAAAAGAAAGCATAAGAATAGTTCATGGAAAAATGGGCAGGATGCCATCATCACACCCTATTTAACATTCTTTAGGATCCATTTGTTAACACGCAGAGAAATTACACCTGCATCGAATGGTTACCCTTGATTTACCCTGAAAAAAAAATGAAAGAGGTTATTGGGATATTGCACCCCAAAGAAATGTAACAAACCCTGAAATCTAATGCTGTTTAAGAAACAGGGAACACAAACACAAAGCATGTGGGGGGAAGGGGTCAAAAGCAAAACATTGAGGGAAAATATAAGACTGAAATATGAGTAACAAAGAATGGCAGCTTGTGGATCACTTTGTAATGGTAACAGGTGCAGATTGCCGATAAAACATTAAGATGACCTAATATAAAGTATGACTTGGGCAGAATGATATATCAGTGTAGGCTTGTCACTTGTAAAAGATGCGCGCAACTCTGGTATCCACAGCTGACAGTGAGGGAGGCTACGTACAGTGGGCAGGAGAAATAGAACCTCTAGGCCGGGCGTGGTGGCTCACGTTCAAAACCAGCCCGAGGAAGAGCGAGACCCAGTCTCTACTATAAACAAAGAAATTAAGTCCAACTAATATATAGAAAAAATGACCGGGCATGGTGGCACATGGCTGTAGTCCCAGCTACTTGGGAGCTGAGGCAGGAGGACACTCGAGCCAGGAGGTGAGGTTTCTGTGAGCTAGCTGATGCCATGGCACTCTCTAGCGCTGAGCAACACAGTGAGACTGGCTCAAAAAATAAACCTATACTACTGTTTAATTTTTTAAAGGTAAAAAATATGAACTGGTTTCCAGATCAAAAAAAAAAACCAAAAAACTAGATACCCCCCCACTGAGATCCTGAAATCCAGTGTTGTCGTCGTCATCGTCGTCTTCCTCTCTTTCACGCTTCTTGGGAAGAAAGAAGATTGGAAACTAAGATGACTCAAGCATAACAAAATGATGCATGAATCAAAAACATTGTGCCGGGGCGCAGTGTCTCGCCTGTAACCTAGCTCTCTGGGAGGCCGAGTGGGAGGATCGCTCGAGTCAGAGTTGAACCAGCCTGAGCAGTGTGAAACCTGCTCTACGATAAAATCAAGAATAATGGCCAACAAAATAAGAGAATTAGCTGGGCATGTGGTGCATGCCTGTAGTCCCAGCTACTTGGGAGGCTGAGGCAGGATAGCTTGAGCCGCAGGAGTGTGAGTGCTTGTGACCTAGCTGACACCAGGGCACTCTCTAAGCCCCTGGGGGCCCAAAACAAACAAGATGTCTCAAAAACAAAACAAAAGAAGACATTTGTACCCTGAATCATGAATTTAGAAATATTAAAAAGGAAAGAGATTACTATTATTACACACACCGTGAAGTCGGGGGAGTCTAAAAAAAATGTTGCATGAGTGCGCGCTCCACCAACTAATTTGAGACAGCCTCGCTCTGTCACCCAGGCTGGAGTTCAGCAATGCTGTAGCCTCAAATAGCCTGAGCTCAAGGGATTCTTCCACCTCAGCCTCCCAACGCGCTGGGGCTAAAGGCGCATGCTACTACACCAGCTAATTTTCATTCCTTGTAGAGATGGGGGTCTCACTTTGTTGCCAAGGCTGGTCTCCAAACTCCTGGCCTTAAGCAATCCTGCACCTCTGACCCCCCCTGCACCTCTGAAGTGCTAGGATTACAGGCATAAACCACTGGGGCCTGGCCTATTATATGAGTGTCACCCCTGCCCACACAACATAAGCTCACCTCAAGTTTCTTGATTATAATATATCGCAGTCTTGCCAGCCTGTTTTTCTGCTCAGATAACAGAGTCCTCACTCCTCTTCTCCTGTAAGGCATAAAAACGCCACCTTTCATAGCCTGGGTGACTGTTTCTTCTCTAGCCGGCGGTTGGGGTTGGGGTAAATCCTCTGGTGGAAGGGAACACATAGTGGCGCCAGCGCTGATAGACAATTTACTAAGGTTCCTTGTTAAAGTTTCAGAGAAGTTAAAAGGCTCTGAAAGAGAAAATTAAGAACGGTTTGAGTTAACAGCAACATCCAGAAGTAATTTGCTCCACATTCAAACTAGGCCTGCTCTTAAGCAGGCTAACACACTGCACGAGAGATGCATCAGGGTGGAAGACCACGCGAGGAACGCACAGTCTCCCGTTATTTTCTCAAAGAGGAAAATCAAGACAGAACAAAATCACTTTTACAGGGGGCACATGGTAACACAGAAGCCCCTTGAACAACATAGGTTTGTGAACTAAAATAAAATTTTAAGGCTCACCCCTGCCCCACCGGCTGACTGAATGGACCCCCCCTTGTGGCCAAAGGAATTTCCTAAAACTAAATTGTCTGCCAAAAAGAGGGAGGTCGGACATGTCTTATGCCCCCCTCCCTTCTTGGAAACATCCTTTGTAACCCATCAGGCCTACCGGTATTCAAGACAAACCTACAGGTCCTCAATTTACACAACAAGTCTACTTCCGGTGGCTTCTCTCTGGTAAACAGCATCTTTATGTTAAAACATTCCAAGCCTTTAGACAAAGCTTCATGTCCTTAACCAATTACAAGCCAAAGAATCTTTAAACCCACCTATAACCTGTAAGCAAGCCCTCTTCAAGATGTCCCACCTTTTCAGGCCAAACCAATGTATGCCTCCCACGTACTGATTTATGACTTTACCTGTGACCCCTGAAACCAAACGAACCTAACCACATCTGAGTCCACTTGCTCAAGGCCTCTCAGGAGTGGCCCCGGTCATGGCCCCCAAATTGGGCTCGCAGTAAATGCCTTCAAAATTATTTTAACAGTTTGGCTTTTTTTCAGTTGACAATTTTGATGTGTTCGGCAGGATCTCAAAGACCCGGGACCGCCTAAGGAGCAGCGCGAACTCGCGCCAGGTACCGGCACGGCCCTTTTAGGTCCCGACTCCGAGCTTCCCCTTTGATGGAACACGGGTAAGTCCTTCTCGGCTCGACCTCCCGGATTTTGGTTTGATGGTCTTAGTTTATTCTGAGCTAGTTCTTTTCCTAGGAATTGTAGTTTGAGATCCTAATTTAGGTTTGGAGGCGCATTCTAAAAGGGTCTTCTCCATTGTCTTTTTTTTTTGAGACAGAGTCTCACTTTGTTGCCCAGGCTAGAGTGAGTGCCGTGGCATCAGCCTAGCTCACGGCAACCTCAAACGCCTAGGCTTTCTATTTTTAGTAGAGATGGGGTCTTGCTTTTGCTCAGGCTGGTCTTGAACTCCTGACCTCGAGCGAGCCTCCCAGAGTGCTAGGATTACAGGCATGAAGCCACCGTGCCTGGCCATAATTTTTCTATTTTAGTAGAGAGGGGAGTCTCACTCTTGCTTAGGCTGGTCTTGACCTCTTGAGCTCAAACAATCCTCCCCGCCTCGGCCTCTGAGAGTGCTAGGATTCACCGCATCCCGCTTGTGCACAAGTTTTTACAAAAGGGCAAATTACATCAAGGAAAATTCAGAGCTGAAATGGTCAACCTACCACTATTAAATAAAATGTCTCAAGCTATTTCTCCTCTTTTCTGGCTATTCTAAAACCTGCTAACTTTTTCTATTGATGTTAAGATAACTCATTGTTTATGGTATTTACAATTGAAAGGCTACTTAGAGAAGCTGCAGACAGTACTAGCTAAATTGCAAACATTGAAAACTCATTTTGAACTGTAAAAAAAAAAAAAGGGGGGGGGAGTAAAGGTTTTTTAAAAAATCAAAACTGCCATGGAAACTGCTTTACCCAAAAACTTTGATCCACGGCTCTAATTAGGTTACCTATCAGGGCAACTAAAATTTGCCATGTGAACAAGTTCCAGTCTCATCAGAAGAAATTTGAATCCAGCTGTCTTTACAGACCAGTGAGTTTGTGTTACCATTTCATGGCTAGAGTTCTAGGGTAAAATTTATTAGAACTTTGTGTGTGTGTTATTGAGTGTCTATGTTTAGGTATGTTGTGTCTGTCCATGTATTACGTGTTTGTGCTTATATGCTTCCAGACTGGTTTAAAATTAAGGGAGTGCTCATAAACCCAAATGCTTCACGGAAGTTTAGTAATCTTGGTAAATAAGCTGTGTTATTAAAAAAAAATAGGCCGGGCGTGGTGGCTCACGCCTGTAATCAGCACTCTGGGAGGCCAAGGCAGGCAGATTGCTCAAGGTCAGGAGTTCAAAACCAGCCTGAGCAAGACCTGCTCTCTACTATAAATAGAAATTCATTGGCCAACTAAAATTATATAGCAAAAATCAGCAGGGCATGGTGGCGCATGCCTGTAGTCCCATCTACTTGGGAGGCTCAGGCAGGATTGCTTGAGCCCAGGAATTTGAGGTTGCTGTGAGCTAGGCTGCCGCAACGGCACTCTCTAGCCTGGGCAACAAAGCAAGACTCTGTCTCAAAAAAAAGTATGTTTTGTAAAATAATGTATAGTATGTGCAAAAGTTAGGATAAAGTTTATGAAAAAAATGTATTAAAAAATTTTGGCTAAAACAAAGATTTCTGTCAATATTAATTTACTCTTAATGACATAATATGCTCAATTCTATAATGTATTACAAAAAGTTATTTTAGTAATTGACCTAAAAAGATTTTATGCTTTGTCAGATAAAACCTAATAATGAGAGCATAGGGATAACTAAAAGTAAATTTTAAAAAGGTTAAGATTTATACCCATAGGCCAGGCACAGTGGCTCATGCCTGTAATCCTAGCACTCTGGGAGGCTGAGGCGGGCAGATTGCTAGATCAGGAGTTTGAAACCAGCCTAAGCAAGACTCCGTCTCTACCATAAATAGAAGGGAATTAATTGGCCAATATATATAGAAAAAATTAGCTGGGCATGGTGGCGCATGCCTGTAGTCTCAGCTACCCGGGAGGCTGAGGCGGAAGGATCGCTTGAGCCCAGGAGTTTGAGGTTGCTGTGAGCTGGGCTGACACCACGGCACTCTACCCGGGCAACAGAGTGAGACTCTGTCTCAAAATAAAAAATAATGCTTACATTTGCTACAAGTCTACCACTAAACCCAAATATAGTACCTGAATACTTATAAGTAAATTAGTTTTGTGGCTTTGCCTTTGCCATTTTAGATTTTACGTCTCATCTAAAACGTTTTAAAGTGTAGTTAAGTGCCTGTCTGCCTCCAGTCCTGTTTGACTTAATATTTAATTGGCTGTAAGCCCCCTTTCAGCTCTTCAGTCCTCTTGGCCAAAGGTCCCACTAAAAGACTAGATAGACACAGGGCAGGTAGCTAGACCACCCTGGCAACAGATAAGACAAAATAAGAGTTTCGCCATAAATGCTGTCTCCGACATCTTAGCCAAAAAAGAATTGTGAACTAAAATAAAATTTTAAGGCTCACCCCTGCCCCCACCGACTGAGACCACCCCCCCTTGTGGCCAAAGGAATATCCTAAAATTAAATTGCAAAAAAAGTCAGACAGTCCTTATGCCCCTCCCCCTTCTTAAAAACATCCTTTGTAACCCATTAACAGGCCTAAAAGTATGCAAGACAAACCTACAAGTCCTCAATTTACACAAGCCTATGTCCTAAGGCTTGTCTCTAGTAAACGGCTTCTATGTTAAAACATCCCAAGCCTTTAGACAAAGCTTCATGTCCTTAACCAATTACAAGCCAAAGAATTTGAGACAGATCATTGCCTGGGCTAGAGCGCCATGGCATCAGCCTACCGCACAGCAACCTCAAACGCCTGGGCTCAAGCAATCCTCCTGCCTCAGCCTCCCAAGTAGCTGGGACTACAGGCGTGCGCCACCATACCTGGCTAATGTTTTCTGTATATTTTTAGCTGTCCAGTTAACTTCTAATTTTGGTAGAAACAGTCTCACTCTTGCTCAGGCTGGTCTCAAACTCCTGAGCTCAAATGATCCACCCACCTGGGCCTCCCAGAGTGCTAGGATTATAGGCGTGAGCCACCTCACCCTGCCCCAAAGAATCTTTAAGCCCACCTATAATCAATCTGTAAGCTCCCGCTTCAAGATGTTCCACCTTTTTAGCACAAACCAATGTATGCCTCCCACGTATTTATGACTTTAGCTGTAAAGTACATCTCCCTGAAATGTATAAAACCAAACTATAACCTAACCACATGGAGTCCACTTGCTCAAGGCCTCTTAAGAAGTGGCTCCAGATCATAGTCGTCAAATTTAGCTCACAGAATCTTTAAATTTTAGAAAGTTTGGCTTTTTTCCATTGACAGGTTTGAACTGTGAGGGGCCACTTCTATTTTCCAACCACAGTATATGAAACACTGAGGCTCAATTTTGTTTCCCAAGTGCCAACTATAGAACTTAGTGTGATTTGGGGGACTCCTAGAAGCAATCCCCAGAGTATACCCAGGCATGACTAATCCCCAGGTCTCTGGAGTGGTTTTTAATGTTCACTTACAGAGAATGCACTCTCTCCCAGCATGACCTACTATGCACTCTGGAGCCCTGTGAGATCGGCAAATAGACCCCATGTGCAAGTCCCTCCCAGAATCCTCATTAAGCAAACGTGTTAAGTTGAAGTGGTTTAATCATCTCCAGTTAGGCCTAACTTAGGTTACCCAGCTCCTTCATGGTATCAAGATTTTCCCACTCAAACCCGATTATTTTGGGAAATCAACCACTCATTCTTGCCTCTTCCCATCCAAACTATCACACATATCCCATAATACCTGTATCTCATACAATAAGAGAGTTATCATGACCCCTGTGTGTGAAAGTATTAGTAATATCAAGGCCCGGGATGATTCACCTTCTAGGGCCCATGCACATGGCAAGGCGGGTTTCGGGTGGTGGAACCGTCCGGCACCCGAGGCAGATCCGAGGCGAGGCACGATCAGACGTTCTGTTCATGAACCCCTCCTTCCCCCTGAGCCTCACGACCGGGGTCCTCCCCTCCAGACACAGACGCCGTGAGCACCGGAGGGCGGGCGCGCTTCCGCCGCTTCCTCCCTGTGGCGCCCGCCTGGGGGCGTCTGCCCCCCACCGCGCCCGCCCGCCCGCCCTCAGTCAGGGTAATGGGCTTCCAGGCGAGGCTGGGCGGGCTTCCGGGCCAAGCCAGGGGTGGGCACCGCCCCCCAAACACAAGAATTCCCCCACAGCAAGATCCGGGAAATGGCCCGATCAGCGGCACTTCAGAAACAGTCTCCAAAGAAAGGGGCGTCCGGCCTGGCGCACCAGCGATCTACATGACAGAGCGCCCTCGCCGCCCCTTCCCCCCAGGCCCCCAAGCCTCCGGCCTGTCGATTAACATTCCTAAAGAGTAAATTCAGCTCGAAAGCCGGCCTCGAAAATGTGGCCGAGAAGCCGGGCGCCCCAGCTACTCTGGAGGCCGAGGCGGAAGGATCGCTTGACCTAAAGAGAGTTCGAGACCACCCTGGGCAGGCAATACAGCGGGTGAAAAGAGAAAACAGCTGGCAGAGATAAGAACTGAGCTGTGAAACGAGGGGTACTTCTTTACTAGATACACATTTTTACAAAGAGTATGTATTACTTTCTGAATAAAAGTATTGCTAGTGATTGCTGAAGTTTAAAAAGAATTTTTTTTGACAGAGTCTCACTCTGTTGCCCGGGCTAGAGTGCCTGGCGTCAGCCTAGCTCACAGCAACTTCAAACTCCTGGGCTCAAGCGATCCTCCTGCCGCAGCCTCCCCAGTAGCTGGGACCACAGGCATGCGCCACCATGTCCGGCTAACTTTTTATAATTTTTTTTTTTTTGGCTGTCCTGCTAAATTTCTTCCTATTTTTATTAAGAGACGGGATCTTGCTCTTGGCTCGGGCTGGTTTTGAACTCCTGAGCTCAAAGGATAGGCCCGCCAGAGTGCTAGGGTTACAGGCGTGAGCCAGTTTGTGTTCCTTTTTACGGTCCCTGTCATGTATTGCTGACGGGGAAAATATTGACCCTGTGAGGTTATGAGCCACGTTCTAAGTTCCCAATTGCTCACCCCCCCCCCCAAAACTGGTCTTCGAAGTCTTAAGCAGACAGGGCGCGGCGGCTCACGCCTGTAATGCTAGCACTCGGGGAGGCCGAGGCGGCAAGATGGCTTGAACTCAGGAGTTCGAGAGCAGCCTGTGCAAGAGCGAGACTGTCTTTACTAAAAATAGAAGAAATTAGCGGGCCTCATGGTTGCAGTGAGCTACAGTGACGCCACTGCACTCTACCCAGGAAAACAGAGCAAGGATGTCTCTCAAGAAAAAAAAAAAGAGTCTGAGGTCTTCCTAACCATAGCTAACAAATGCTGCAATTCTAACACACGCATGCATGCCCCCCCCCCTTTTTCCCCTTCTTTGAGCCCTTTTTTACCACTGGAGGAAGTTACATCCCCTGCCCCTACTTTGGTTTGAGGTTTTCTTAAACGGATTCCTGCTGCAATGACTGAAGTTAACATAAAAAGCAAGGGGCATCCTTTTGACTTCCAAACCCCCTGTAGCCAAGAAGGACGTTATCTGTCTTACCTGAATTGCCTCGAGAATTTTCTTCAGTGAGCATGTAAGACTCGGGGGTCAGGTCTGAGGCAGGCATTTCTGAGAAGTCCATGGCAGTCTTGTCACAGCGGTAAGGTCCCTCTGGGTCTCTGGGTCTCAGCAGAACGACAGGAAACCTGGAGGAACCCTGTCGCTCAGAAAGAGCGGGAGAGGCCGAGCTGCAGCAGACGGTGCGGGGAAGAACTGAACTGACCGAAAACTTCAACTCCGGTTTCCTCTTATACTATCGATAAGCCAATCTTCCAAGCTATTTTAATGTTAATGATCCAATGATTAAAGGATAAAAGGATTCAAATGATTAAAAGTGAATGGGCGTAGTTTGGACTGATAAGTCTTCATCTGCTTTGCATTAAAATAATCACGTTCCCGCCCGGGCGTGGTGGCTCACGCCTGTAATCCTAGCACTCTGGGAGGCAGAGGTGGGCGGATCGCTCAAGGTCAGGAGTTTGAAACCAGCCTGAGCAAGAGTGAGACCCCCGTCTCTACTATAAACAGAAATAAATTAATTGGCCAACTAAAAATATATACCAAAAATTAGCCGGGCATGGTGGCGCACGCCTGTAGTCCCAGCTACTCGGGAGGCTGAGGCAGCAGGATTGCTTGAGCCCAGGAGTTTGAGGTTGCTGTGAGCTAGGCTGATGCCACTGCTCGCTAGCCTGGGCAACACAGTGAGACCCTGTCTCAAAAAAAAAAAAAAAAAAATCACGTTACTTGTCCAAACTACTGGAAAAATTTATCTAGGGCCTCTTTAGTGGTTCTGTCTCCCTAAAGCTGCCTTAAATATGAGTTTGTTGTTTCCCCGAACCCAAACTCTACTCCTGGAGAAGGATACTGGTTTGTGAACTGAGTTTAAGTGTTGTAGTGCAGAAAGAATGGCAATTTTCTCCCCAAGTGCCCATTAACTCCCAATTAAGTTAAGAGAAAGTATCCTTAAAGCTTTCCTTGCCAGAATCATCTTAAACCTTTGGAGCCTGTTCCACCTCGTTTGCTACTAAGGGAAAGTAGAGGAAAAATAAACAAATATCCTTTATGAACACTTTTTTTTTCCTATGCCTGCCCTCACATGAACACTTTCATACTTGCTATTTTATAGGCATGTATTTATTTTTGATCTATAATTTTAGTTTCATAGACTATAAATTTAATTGTATCTAACATTTCTGAGCAACTGAAATTAACTAAATTTATAAATTCCTACTCCCTCTCCACCAAAAAGATACCTGTATGAATTCTGGCAAGGCTTTCTACACATGGCTCATGTGGGAATAGAAAAGAAAAGAAAGGAAGAAAGGAAAAAGCATTCTGGCCAAGAGTACCAACATTAACCACTGATTATCTGCAGGAGGTGAGAGAACAAGCCCCCAGCTGCCCCTCTCTTTTCCCTCTTATTCTTTCCCATTCCCTCTTTAGCTGGAAACTGAGAAAATACTCAATGGCAATCTTGTTTGGTTTTGGTAAAAAGCTAAAATTGAAGTTATGACCAACAAATATGTTTGTAGTGGCTAAGAAGCCATAGACATAGGTCATGTCCCCACTCTATTCAAATGGTTCTCAAAAATGTGGTCTCCAGACAGGCAGTATCAACAGCACCTGTTTAACTTGTTAGGCGAATTCTAGAGCTCCAACCCAGACCTACTAAATAAGAAACTGGGGCCCAGCAATCAATGCTCGTTAAGCCTCCCAAGTGATTCTGATGTGTGCTAATGTTTAAGCAGTCCTGCTTCATAGCCCATTGAACTTTCCACTCCTGTTGTCTCCCTCTTGCCCTGGGGACCTCTCTGAGATCAGTCTGTGTGAATTCCATTTAAAAAGTGAATATGAAAATTCAGATTGTAGGAGATTTATGACTAGGAGGTGAGACAGCAAAAACTGCTGAAAAAGACTCTTATTTGAGAAATTCAGGTTTAATGTTTAAAAAGGTGAGAGCCTCATAGCTAGAGAAAGAAATGGGACGTGGGTGGTAGAGTTTCAGTTGGCTTCAACATGGCAGAAACTGGGCCAAAAGAGGCAGAACATAAAATTACTGTGAGGATGGTTGACAGAGCACAAACTCTACATGTTTTAAAAGATCAGATACAGATAAAAATGTTTAAAAATGTATAACTTAAAAATTATGGGAGGACGTTGTTTTGACTGAGCTCCTGCACTAGGCCCCAAACAGAGCAGACCAAACAAAAATGAAGTCACTCTTGCTAAATGCCACATAAACTAAAACTTTAGGGAAGCAGATCTCCAAACCGACCAGTTTTTCCTGAAAACAGAAGATTCCCGTCTACCTGAGTCAGTGTAATAAGGAAGTCCCCTATGCTTTACCTCTTACAAAAAAGTAACTTAATATAACCTAATGTTAATGAATCCATTTTTTCTATCGTTCTGTTTTCTTGTTCCAATCTTAGGAAACCCATTCTTCTGCTATTGCCCAGTGGGAGCTCTCATTCTATTTTGTAGAATGGAAGCTGCCCCAATGATGAATCGTAAGTAATAGCTAATTCGATCTATAACTATAATTTGTTGTAATTTTGCCTTTTGACACAACTTTCTAGTTAACATGTTCGTTCTTTATGAAAGATGAGAGACAAAAAGCCAAACAGAATGAAGTAACTTGAAAAAAACACTATAAAAGAACAGGGCAAGAAAACTATCACTAATTTTTTAAAAAATCTTTTAATCTTTTTGAAACAAACGATGTTCAAGAAAGGAAAACTCAGAACAAAAAACAAGCACTTGGAAATTAGAAGTTTCATACTAGAAACAAAAAAACTGAAGAGGACTTGAAGAAAATCAAAGATATTTCCTTAGTGAGTAGAGTAAAAACACAAAGATGTAAATAAAAGAGAAAAAAATACAAGAAAATGAGAGTCTAGGATCAGGGATTAGAGTGGCTTCAGATTCCTTAATAACATTAGGCCTGGCGTGGTGGCTCAGGCCTATAATCCTAGCACTTTGGGAGGCCAAAGCAGGAGTAAGCACCACTTGAGGCCAGGAATTCAAGACTAGCCTGAACAACATAGTGAGACCCCACCTCTTAAAAAAATACTGGCTGGGTATGGTGGCATGTGCCTGTAGTCCTAGCTACTCAGGAGGCTGAGGCAGGAGGATCATTTGAGCCCAGGAGTTGGAGGTTTCTGTGAGCTAGGATGACATCATTGCACTCTACACAGAGGAAGACTCTCTCCAAAAAAAAAAAAAAAAGAAAATTCAGAGGTCGTAACTGTAAACTTCTCACCAACCTCCCAGCCTCTCCCTTGCTAGGGTGACTCTAGCCAAATTGGCCCTTCAGGCGTGTTCAACAGTGAAATGGCTTAATTTGCAGGACTGAAGGAGGAGGGACATGCATACAATCTGGCGAACTCGGGCGGGGTGTGGTGGCTCACACCTGTAATCCTACTACTTTGGGAGGTCCGGGGAGTTCAAGGTTGCAGTGAACTTTGACTACACCACTGCGGGCGGCACTGGCGTCACCGCAAGACTGGGGGTGGGAGGGGACCGGGAGGGTCCCTTGAATGTACTTTTCAAATTCTAATCTGCCCCAGGAATGTAAATTGATGTCTAAGTCGTAGCTCAACTTTCTAATCATTGAGCCCGCCTTTTCTCTCCAGGTGCTTTCTCTAACTCGGAAATGTTTTCATTCTACTACACCCGGCTGGTCTCAGATCCGGGAGTGAAACCCGCAAGCGAAATAAAAAGTTGTGCCTTCAAGGAGCATGGTGAATACACCTGAAAAGTCCAGGGTGGGAGGGTGGGGAATGGAGCATGGTGAAGACAAGGACAACAAATCATCAATCTAAGTGATAGCGATTTTTTTTTTTTTTTTCAGGTGGAAGCACACAGGAGTGCTAGCGATTTTAAAGAGATGTAAAGCCGGGGAGGGCAGAGGGGAGGGCTGCTGTCGTGGAGAATTCTCCCCCGCGCATAACTCACGAGTACCTGCGCTCTCCCGGCCTTTGCAGCCCAGGCGGCCCGGCTCCCCTGCTCTCGCTCCCAACACCCCACGTTTCCCCCAGGCTTCCAAGCTTTATCCGCCCTGCATGAGATCTCATGCAGCCGAAGCTCGGTGGTCAGGGTGCGGCCTGCAGGAGAGCGGACACGCGGGGCGCGCGGGGGCGTGGAACAGGCCCACGCTCAGGCTCAGTCGCCTCCTGCGCCCCCGCACCGCCCATGGTTGCCCTCCTTCCCGGGGGTCCACCTTGGTTCTTGCAATTCCACAGTGAGAAGTCAGCACTCCCAGGGTTGGAAGTTGGCCCCTGTTATCAATTATTTGATGGGTTAGTGGAAAATATTTAACGACGACTTTGCACTGTGACAGCCCACAAAAGAGGAGCGTGCAGGAACGGATGGTGGCTGTGATGGGAACAGGGAAGTATAGGTGATAGATTTCCCAACATTTGTGGTTTGCATAAGGATATCTAGAACAATGGCTAACTGGTTAATTCGGCTAATTTTTTGTTTGTTTGTTTCTATTTTTTAGTTGCCCGGCCAATTTTTTTCTAGTTTATTAGTAGAGACAGGGTCTCACTCTTGCTCTCGCTGTTCTGAAACTCCTGACCTTGAGCGATCCAGCCTCAACCTCCCGAGTAGCTGGGACTACAGGCATGCGCCACCATGCCTGGCTTATTTTTTCTATATATATTAGTTGGCCAATTAATTTCTTTCTATTTACAGTAGAGACGGGGTCTTGCTCCTGCTCAGGCTGGTTTCGAACTCCTGACCTGGAGCAATCCACCGGCCTCGGCCTCCCAGAGTGCTAGGATTACAGGCGTGAGCTACCCCGTCTGGCCCATCCTGTCCTTTTAAGAAAGGAAATGTGGGCCAGGGGTGGTATGCCTGTAATCCTAGCACTCTGAGAGGCTGAGGAGGGAAGATCCTTTTAGCTCAGGAGTTTGAGACCAGCCTGAGCAAGAGCGAGACTCCGTGTCTACTAAAAAAAAAAAAAAAAATAGAAAGAAATTAGCTGGACAACTAAATATATACGGCATGGTGGCGCTTGCCTTTAATTCCAGCACCTCGGGAGGCTGAGGCAGGAGGATCGCTTGAGCCCAGGAGTTTGAGATTGCTGTGAGTTAGGCCAATGAGCCACGGCAACAAAGTGAGACTGACTCAAAAAAAGAAAGAAAATAAATAAATAAAATGGTTATGGTTGTAAATTTCGTTTTCATCAGAATAAAACAGTTTTTAAAATAAAAATAAATTGAAGAAAAAACCCAGCATATTTATAAGGCATTGTTATATAAAGTACAGATT